AGTGAATGCTATACCTAAACCATTTCCCTTAATGTTTTATTTCTTGTTTTAGCATCTTTAGACTTTAGTTTATGTATCTCTTATTCCGGACTAGCTTAATTGTCGATAACATTTGGTGGTGTTTATTCGTTCTCTGTGGTTTGACCCCTATGCTTGCCTTATACTCGTATTAGGTTTGTTTAGGTTGTATGAATTGTATTTGATCTAGGGATAGACAATTGACGACGCGTTTATTCCCTTGTCAAATTGATACAAGGAACTTATTCTTTACCCTCAACATGATACTAGGAAAAGCATCCTAACATGATATTAGGAGTTAAATAAACAATCTAAGCATGATTTCTATATCATAATATCAATAAAGCAATTAAAGCACTTACTTGGATGCCTCATATTTCTTTCTAATAACAAAATACACACGTTAGTAACTTCAAGGAAAATAATAAAACAAACAATTAAATTAAATAATTGAAATAGAGATTTGGGACTAAACCCTCAGAAGGTATCAACCTTTCACGTCTAGGGCGAAGGCAACTTCGAACTTGGCTAGGTGTGTCTAGATCTTTTGAATGCGGAATTTTGTTTGTGAAAAGTTGGTTTAGAAAGAGAGAGAGAATCAAAAATTTCTTGATGAGAGTTGGTGATTAAAAACGGAGGTCTAGGACACTATTTATAATGAAAATAGTCCGGATTTGATAAAAAAGAATCGGAGTTTGAAGAGGAATAAAACACGCCTCTGTCGCTAGGCGACAACCTGGCATCCGGCACTATAGGAGATTTTTCCACACGTGTTCTATTTTTTGATAAAATTAAATCGTAAAATTCCGTACAAGGGGTAAAATTGAAATTTCATTTAAAACACTTCTTTTATTCCAAATAAAACTCATAAAACCCAATTATCAATCCTAATCCCATAAGGATTCAAAAGAACCTTCTAGAAGACTATAATCAATCCTAATTGCATTAGGAATGATAATTCATTATACACCCTCCTCTAGATCATTGGGCCGCATATAAAGATCAAACCAGGCCCAATTTAGTAATTTGGCCATAACTTCCTCATTATTCATCAGAATTGGGCTTATAATATATCGTTGGAAAGCTCTTTTCGAGCCCTATCCAACTACATTATCATCGGACCCTTCTTATGGACCAAACTAAACTGGATTGGCTATTTTCATAAAATAAAATAGGTTTTCGAAAATAGAAAGAGAGAATAAAAACAAACCGCAACACAAGACTTTCCACACTTTTGCTTTGTTCGATAATCAAATGACATGAAAGGTATTCATCACTGGGTTTGGTTTTGGGGAGACACATTTGGGTGTCTACAATGTGCATTTTTTTTTATTTAATTTTTATTTTTATTTTTAGTTTTTCTCTTGTCATATCCTCTTTTTTATTTATTTAAGTCAAGTCATGGTCTTTTTTTATTTATTTATTTATGAGTGAACTCGGATTTTTATTCCCATATCCTGCACAAGAGTCAACTTATTTTGGTCATATCCGGAGTTCTAGAAAGAATTACGCGTCGTGCCGACTATGGATCTGTAGCCCCGAGGTTTATCTTTCATTTGGAATTAGTTTCGTCCCAATTAGAGTCACAGATATAAAGTTATGACCGATATACTACAGCCTCTCTAGTTTAGGTGTCTTTTTAGCATCAACTTTCTTTTATTTTTTAATTTTTTTTATTTCTTTTCGTGTCATGCTAGTCTTAGCCAAATCCTTTAATCCGTGTCATCTCGTATAACACAGGATTATTGATTTTTATTTTTATTTATTTATTATACCCATGAGTCCTAACTCTTCTAGAATTATAGTCTTATTCCTAGTTTCTTGTGATCGATTTTGTGCTAACCTTAACATGTGTTTTTTTATTTGATTGTTGTTGATCTTATTTATGACTAACGATTGCCAATGGACCGTTTTCACCTAGTAAATATCATAAACATTAAAATTGGACAACATTAATCAAGTTAGTTTGTCTTTTAGTCTTCCGTGCTATTTGGTCATTGGGTCCTTTGTTTTTCACAACGTCCTCATGCCTAGCCATGCGATCATACCACGAGTCTTAATAAACTAACCTAATCACACATGTTGAGTCATTGCACACACTTTGTCTTCGAGTAATGCACTATATTGTTTATGATCGTCTATTAGGACCATGCATGCATCATTTTCCGTCGTAATAGGAATGAGTGGAGTATTTCCCATCAATTTTCAAAATTGTTTCATACACTCTTCATTTCTTTTTTGGAAGGTAAGAAAAGTATATTGATCAAAAAACTGTACAAAGAATAATGTACAAAGCTGACAACCAGAAACCCAAAACTACACAAGCCTTAGCAAAAAAGGCAAACAACCACCATGATTTTAAGTTCAACCTTACCACCTTCTAGGAAGGGATTAAAGCATGAACAAAAAACCAAAACCAGGTCAAAGAGATCCCTGGTACCTTCTAGGAAGGGCTCAATGAAAACCAGACCTGTAAAAGAAAGAACACCTACACCCAAAACCCCATACAACCAAGCTAAATAAAGACAGCAACAGAGGCAACAAAAACAGTTAAATACAAGACTTGAGGTGCTGCAACCATTTACAGTCTTCAATCTTCCAAGTGTGATTGATCATCTGCTGACATCTAGCCACAACTTCTCTCTTTACCCCTTTTGAAAACAGATCCGGCCTTAGAACAACTTTATACCAAAGAGTATGATTCCTAGCCATCCAAATATTGTAAACAACTGCAGACAAGCAAGCCAGAATCACTTTCTACTGAACACAGTTTTTGCCTCTTTGTTTCTAGTTCTTCCAATTATTAAGAGAATGCAGAGGGGAATTATGAAGGCCATGCCAAAGAGCAACATCATCAACAACCTTTGTACTATAGTTGCAGGTAAAAAACAAGTGAGTACTGGTCTCAGCATCCTCTCCACAAAGAAGACAGTCACTAGACTCACAAGCCCCAAACAGAACAAGTTTATCTCTAGTTCTGAGCCTGTCCAAGGCTGAGAGCCAGTTAATAAAAGTATGCTTGGGGATGTTAAACTGATTACAGACCCAAACATACCAAATAACTTTTTCCATGTTACCCTGAAGCCACTTGTAGCCATTTTTGATTCTATACCTTTTATTTATCCAATTCTCAGTCTCAAACCCCTGCCTAAGCTCATCTTTAACCTTGCATAACAACTTCCAGGCCCAGCCAGCATCTTTCTTTGGTTTATAATCCCACCACTCCTCACCCTTGATATAGACAGCATGAACCCATCTAACCCATAAAGAATCAGATTTTTTTGCAATTTTCCAAACATAGCTTCCCAGGGCAGCTTTGTTCCAATTCCTGCAATGTCTTATACCTAAACCACCAAACTTCTTGGGTCTGCAAACCCAATCCCAGGCAATTGGAGGGGACTTGGACAGCACAGCATTACCACTTCAAAGGAAGGCTTTACATAGCTGAGTAAATCTATCCATCACTCTCTTGGGCAGAAGAACACACTGAGCCCAATAAGTATGCAAGCTCATAAGAACAGAGTTAATAAGGGTAACTCTAGCAGTATAGGATAAATGTCTACTACTCCAACATTGCAATCTCATCAGCATTTTATCAATCAAACTATCAAAGTCATTCACTTTCAAATACTTAGCATTGAGAGGGATACCAAGGTACCTAAAAGGCATATCACCCATGACAAAACCAGAATTCATCAAAATACTGTCTTGCACCTGCTGCTGGACATTTCCAAAATAAATTGCAGTTTTTCAAGGTTTGCTTGAAGCCCTGATCTGGCCTCAAAGGTTTTCAAAGCTCTAATAAGGAGTTTTACAGACTCAGTATCCCCATAAGAGAAAAGCATCAGATCATCAGCAAAGATCAAGTGATTAAGAGCTAGAGAGTTGCACCTTTGGTGAAACTTAAAATCCCTCCTTTTACCAACTTTCTTGAGAAGTCTGGTTAAATATTCCATCACAATAACAAACAGAAGAGGAGACATAGGATCACCCTGCCTCACACCCTTTCTCCCTTTGAAAAAACCATAAGAACCCCCATTGAGCAGCAAAGAGAAAGAAGGAGTAGTAACACACTGCATGATCTAGGAGATGAACTTGGTGGGGAACTTGAGGGCAGTCAACATCTCTTGAATAAATCTCCAATAAACAGAATCACAAGTCTTCCTCAAATCAACCTTAATAGTGCATCTAGGAGGCTTTCTCTTATTATTATAGGCTTTAAGCATATCCTGGAAAATCAAAATATTATCCAAGATAGATCTCCCAGAAACAAAAGCACCTTGACACCCATCAATTAGATCAGGAAGCACTTCCTTTAATCTATCACAAATCATTTTAGAGATGATCTTGTAGATCACATTGCAGCAAGCAATTGGTCTAAATTGAGTGACCCTATTAGCATGATCAACCTTAGGGATCAAAGTAAGGGTGGTAGCATTAATCTGCTTAAGAAGCTTGCCTGAACTAAAGAAATCCAGGACAGCTTTAGTGACATCAGGACCAACCACACTCCAGGTAGCCTTGAAAAATTTGCTGGAGAACCCATCAGGACCAGGAGCTTTGTTGTCCTCAATGGTCCACAGAGCTCTCTTTACATCTTTCTCACAAAACTCCCTGCATAAGTTGATGCCCTGATCCTCAGAAAGGACTTTACTTTCAGAAATGACTCCCTGATGAATATTGCCCACCATATGAGTTTCAGTACCAAGCAGACCCTGATAATACTTAAGAAAGGTTTCACATACTTGTCCAGGATCAGAGATGACCAGCCCCTCATCATTCAAAATAGAGTAAATGTTGTTCTGAAGCCTTCTCTTCCTGATCATAGCATGAAAGAAAGCAGTGTTCATATCACCATCCTTGAGCCAATGAACCTTTACCTTTTGTTTTAAGAAGTTAAATCTATCAGAATGAGTTTTGGCAAATTGGATCCTAGCTAGTCTTTCTTGACTGATAAGATCTTCATTCCCAGGGTCACTTTGCTATTTAATCTGGATCTCTTCTAGGTGCTTCTCAGCAACTACATCATCAACCTCCACACAAGAAAATCTGCCCATCTTATACTCTTTTAAGAACTGCTTCACCTCCTTCAACTTCTTCACACATTGAAACATAAGAGTACCAAAAACATTTTTACCCCAGACTTCTTTAACCCCAGGAAGAAAATCTGGGGAGTTCACCCAAATATTCACAAACCTAAAAGGTTTCTTAGTATGATTACCAGAATCAAAAAGCTTAATCACACAAGGACTATGGTCCATTAACCCCTCTGGAAAGAAAGTAGCTTGCATATCAGCAAATTTCAACATCCACTCATCATTAACAATAACTCTATCAATCTTTGAGCAGACTCTATCCTTACCCTCCTGCTTATTATTCCAAGTATAGAACATTCCACCTGTAGCCCAATTAGTGAGTCCAGCACCTCTTAGACAAGATCTAAAAGGCTCAACCTCAGCTAAGGACACAATGCTCCCTATTCTGTCATTCAAATTCAGAACATTGTTAAAATCACCTTGAAGGATCCAAGGGCCACTAACCTTATTACTGAGCTCAACAATCTGCTCCCACAGCTGCACCCTAGCTCCAGCAGTATTCAAACCATAAACCATAGTACACTCAAACTTCACCCCAGTAGCTTTGTGAACTACACAAATGTGAATTAATTGAACTTCACATCTTACCATAGTCACATAAAAAAGTTGAGATAACCAAACCACCCAAATTATACCCCCTTTATGGTAGGGATAATTAGTACAAACAGACCAATCACTCCCAAGCCTATTAAAAACATCACCAAACTTCACAGCCTTCACCTTTGTTTTAAGAAGTCCAAATAAACCTACTCCGTGGTGTCTAATAAACCATAAGACATCACAGAGCTTGCTGGCTTTATTTAGACCTCTTATATTCCAGAATCCAATCTTATCCATGGTAAGAGTGAGAGCATTCCCCCTCTTCCAGGACACTGAACCTGTTACCACCGCTACTGATTAAAAACACACATGCTTGCATTAACTGAGGTTTTTGACAGATATCATCAGCCTGCACATCACCAGTAAAGGTGTTTGTCCTACTCCCATCATTCTGGCTCTTAATATCAGGCTTTTGAACTGGCTTCCATACTCTTTGTGGCTTTTTGTTTTGTTTATTGAGCTGTTGATTCCTCCCAGCTTGCAGCCCCTCCATTTTCCTAGCTTGAACTTTATGGTTAGGGCATTGAGTATCATCATGCCCAATCCCACCACACACCCTACACACCCTAGGCTTCCATTCATATTTCACCTCTTGCTTAAGTGTGTTTCCAAACTCATCCAGGAACTCAATGCATTCTGGTAATTCAACATTGAACTTAACCTCCACCATAATCCGGGCATACTCCAGCCTTTCCTTAGTAGCAGTTGCCTTATCAGTCTTAATAGGCTTCGCAATCAGAGAAGCCAACTTCATAAGAGCCTTTAAGTGAATGCATTAAGTGAGTTCATCCTTACACAGTACTTGAGTCTAAAATCACTAGGCAATATTTGGAAGAATAAGGGGATCATCACTCCTTCCTTCTTTCCTTCCAATCAAAGCATCAACAACAACAACAAACTTTTTTCCTCACTAGGTGGCAGGAAGTAACTCATAAACAACCATGAAGACAAAGCACGATGCAAGCTTCTCACCAAGATTCATGTTTTCTTCTTCTTTTGTTTCAAACCCTCCTCCCTAAAAAGTCTAGCATAGGTTCTCCGTATCCATGTGTCTACTTGTCACATTTCTTACCTTCTTAATAAATGAGCATCTCTTTATTTACATTCGATCATGTGATTAGCCAAAAAATAAAAAAAAAAATCAATTACCGAACTAAACACAAGGTACACCAATGACTTGAGGCACCTTTGCAACCCTGTTATTCCCTATTAACCACTCAATCACATATCCATTTCTTCATCAACCACTTTGAGCCTCGTCTAACGATTGACCTTTTTTATTCAACCCACATTCACTTAACCATGGGATGGGAAGGTGTGCAATTTGTGTAACAGTTAGAAAGCAAGTTCAAATAATAAAAAAAATAATAAGTAAATGAAAAAAATGTCTAAGGGCAAGTGTTCTAATGTCTTCGATAGGAACACGTCTCAAATTGCGTTCTCTCATCAAGTGCTTGGTACCGTGCCTGAGAAACATGAATGCTAAGTGAGTGATGGACCGCATGAACTAAGATTGCCTACATTGATTCAAAAGAATGAAAAAAAATAAATTCAAAACAAAAATATATATATGAAAAATAAAACTTGCAAAATTCAAAATTTTCAAATTCACAATTACACATCTTAGGGATTCTCCCGGGTCTTGAGCCTTTTACCCTTTTCTTCTTTAAACCATCAAATTAACAACATTACAACCCTTGAAAGACCTCTTTGATGTGTACATACACTTGTGCAAAATTCAGCTAGAGCTATGTTCGGCCTGATTCCTGACGGATACGTAGGCAACCTCACATCGAGGTGCGGCCACATTCATATCCACCTTCATATTCATATCCATGCATGATCGAGTCAAAGAATATCCAATGCTTACCCCTATCCATCTAGATTAGAGTTAGAATTGGGGGATCGAACCCACATAATTTAGCCTACCTAGCCTAAAGAGTCACCATCTCGACTCTTTTTCACATATATATCCATCACCATAACCTTTGCAACCAGCCTTAGTATCACATTCAAACATTTCACTGACACATCCATATCCATATCGACCATCCTTCCCTTTAAGAACCCTTTATCATAAAATCTTGTTTCAACACTGTGCATGTTTCATCATCTTTCAAGACAACATTCATTAGAAGAAACATTGTATACTTGCTTAGCTTCCTGACCTGAGCAATGTTCATTGTTTCACGCATCGCATAATGTGTTGAGTAACATTTTTATATCAATGATTTATAATCATACAAAGCATATAGCGCTTAGCTCCTTTACCTAAGCAACGTTCATTATGCAATAATCACTTCATCTATATACGTGTTTAGCTTCCAGACTTAAGTGACGTTCAAGATCGCTTCTTTACACCATATATGATGCTTAGCTCCATGACTTAAGTTCATTCATCTATCGTGTCACATGATGTAATTGTCCTTAGCCTCTTGGCCAAAGAATATGCATCATGTATACATTATTTCAAGACAAGCAATTCAATCCATACGATTCATTTCGTCTTGCTCAAGGAGGAAGTTCAAAACTTCTTCCCGTTTTCATCTTTTCTTTTGGGGAAATTCAAAAACTTTTTCAAAAATTTTCTCATCGAGGGAAGTTCAAAAATAAAACTTCATTTTTCACGTCTTTCTTTTTCGGGAGAAAGTCGGTACCCTCCACTCGTCTCATGACAAAAATGACAGAAAAATTTTGCTTTTGCATTTTCGGTTGCTTATGTCTACACACACAATATACACACACAACCACAAGTTATACACATGTCATGTCATATCATGTTAAATCAAGCTTGGTCAAGTCAGTTGGTCAAGTCAATCATAGTCTATACAAGTCCCTTGGCAAATTTTATTTTGCAGGTCTCAATAACAGCCCACGTCCGCGGACAAGCGGACATCTACGGCCCACGTTCGGGGATAAGTGAACCCCTTATAGCCCACGTTCAGGGACAAGCAAACCATCTACAGCCCACGCCTGAGAACAAGCAGACCATCTACAGCCCACGTTCGGGGACAAGCAAACCATTTACAGCCCATGTTCGGGGACAATCAAACCACCATCATTTCATGGCGCAAGGTTCTTGATACATAGAGACTTGCAATCTTAATAGACAAGTTTTTCCTCAAGCATGGAAAATTGTCGGTCGTTGTCATCTCTCAAAGAGAAGAAGTCAGCGATTACATCATATGTCGACTTTCCTCAAGCATGGAAAGTATCTCAACCGGTGGGTTTCTTCAAGATAAAAAGCTACCAAATTCATCTGTCAACTATCCTCAAGCATGAATAGTATTATCGGTGGGTTTCTTCAAGCATAGAAAACCATCAATTCATATGTCGACTTTCCTCAAGCATGAAAAGTACCATCCAGTAGATTTCTTCAAGCATAGAAAGCTACCAAACTCATCAGTCGACTTTCCTCAGGCATGGAAAGAATCTCAACAAAACATCATCCGGTGGATTCCTTCAAGCTTAGGAAGATACCAAACTCATTTGTCACCGATACACTGGTGTCAGATATGCATTCTATCCCTTTACTCTTTTATCTGTAGAACTAACATTTTTCTGCAGGTATCGGCGTATACAGAGTGATTTAGGATCACAGATCGTCTTAAATAATTCTCCGTCCCTATCGACTACTTTGACTATCGTTTTTGAAACCGACATTTATACAAACTCAGTTAAAGTGGGGGCTTCTATAGACACCTAAAAATGTCTCCCCAAAACCAAATTAAACCTGATGATGAACAATCTTTCACCGCCATTACTGGTCGGGTTGAGTATTTATTCTTGGAGTGCTTAAATACATATTTCCATTTCTTAAATCAACCCAATTCCTAGCCCATTTCCCCAAACCTTCACTTATTTTCCTCTTTTCGTGTCTTTAAACCCAAAATAATTCATTTCATGTCCTTTAAAATCATTCATTTCGTGTCCTTTTTATAAAAACGTTCAGTACAGTTTATTTTGGTCCATGATATAGGTCCAATGATTGAATATTTGGATGGGGTTTGAAAATAGATTTCCAACGATATATTATAAGCCCACATCAGAATTATAACGAATAAGTTATGGTCAAAATACTAAACCGAGCCCAAACCGAACCTAAGCCCACCTTACCTACGACCCAATGGTCATGTGGAGGGTCCAAAGGATTTAATCCCATTTATGAACAAATTAGGATTAATTGGAATCTTCTATAAGTTTCTGAAATATCTTAATTATCATTTTTGAAAAGATAAGATTAAAGAGTTTGAAATTGAATAAAACTTTTCTTTTTGAAAGTCCTAATTTATTCGAATTGAAAGACGTTCAAAGATAGACGGATATTATTTTTGTGCCTCATAGTTTTTATCCAAATCTTATTTGTCGGATAGCCCTTGAAATTATCTTTCCAATGATATATTATAATATCAATTCCAATCTATAATGGAAAACATATGAATGAAATATCAAATTCTATCCAAAACTGACACCGTCTCACTATTTTGGCTATATTCTTTTATTATACAAATGATTTTATTTGGATTAGAAATTTGACTTAAAATCTTTCCAACGACATATTATTTATCTTATTCCGATTTCTGGATCAAAAGATATGATAAAAACAAAAACCGTAAAAATTGCTGTCTATCGCAAGAGTATTATTCCAATTCGAATTCTTATCTTTTCTTAATTCTTCGACCCTTATTTTTCGCTATAAATAGAGGTCGTATCTCCCCTTTTTCAATCACCAACAATCTTGATCACAAAATCATTCTCTTCTCCCTCTTTAGCCTAAACACTAGCCTCCCCATTCTTTCACTATTCCTTCCCCTAAGCACTCCAAGAAGTCCATACTTAACCAGAGGTTCCGTCCTTAAACCAAAGCGTGAAAGGTATAATTAACTGAGGGTTTGGACCAAATAAACTCTACTTTTATTTAATTTAATTTCAATTTAATTTATATTTTTATTAAAGTTACTAACAGTTTATTCATGATGTAGCAATTCAAGGAAACGTGGAAAGTGAGTAATTAATTCACTTAATTACTCTTATTATTTTATATTGCTTGCATCATGATTAGGTTTATTTATATTTGATTTGACTAATGCTATTATTGTTAAATTGCTTCCAATATTCATGTTTATTCTATTATATTTTTTATGATCACCATATTGCATGTTTAAAGAGAATATGTAATTGAAAATCACAACTAATATGATAATTTGGACGACCAGTTTAGGTTCCTTTTTAATCTTATTGTTTAATCAAGTGATCATAAATTTTAGGATTATGTGGTCCATTAATATTTAACCAATTTAGCTTAATGATAGTTTGGATCAAATTGAATATTTTGTTTGTATGCCTTTGAGATCACATGAATCACTCTTCACTATAAAAATCGAGTAGAGGCCAATACGGGCGAATGTGACTCCATGACTCACTTCGTACCATCATCCCCGATCCTCCTTTTGTGGTTCCGAATCATATGGAGTTAGTAATATCATGGATTGTGAATGTGGTGTAACCTTCACGGGTCAATCGTTGTTTCCTATCGTTGTCCCTTAATCGTGGTTGTCTTTTATGATCCATGAACGGTTTACAAGTTCCTTACGAACTTGTTGGAGGCTCCCTACTTTATTTGTCCCTAATCGTATTATGTAAATTCCCACTTCCAATGAGTGTCAAGCATATTCACAACATGCTTTTAACGTAAGCGCACTTCAAACGACGCCTACAACTCACTTCGATTCTTTTTCGGGAGAAAGTCAGTAC